GCGCACGTTCTTTAGTAGACAAAATCGTCATATCTAGAGTACGGAGAAATATGTGCAAAAAGACCAAGATAACCCCAGGATTCATAGGAAAACGCTTGAAGGGGCAAACACGGGAATTCAGGTTAAATTTGCCATCTCGCCTTGGTCTACGATTAACCCGCCTTAGAAAAGGGGCGAAGTTAGTTCAACTATGCAAGGCCAAAGCCTCGACCCTAACACGACCACGCAAAATAACTCAGGAACTATAATTTGGGATCTCGAAGTCAGCAAATAACATCGTCATTTTCATCCAACAAAACCAAAGAGGAAGATATTGTTTACAAGGAATGAGAGAACAACAACATTCCTATTAAAGAAGTTGTACCAATCCGAAAGTTACATCAAATTCACAAAAATAAAGTGCTACAAAGGTCTTTATCGAATCACCAAAAATAAAAGGAGAGAAGCGACCACGGGTCCACCTGAGGTAGCTACCTCACCACTGCCGCCGACTCCCTCGTCAATTTTTTCCGCTGGGACATCGGGCTCCTCAGACTCATCCACCTAGGAAATGGAAGCCCACTTAGCACCTGGCACCACAACTTATTCAGCAGCCGTGGACCCCTTCTTGTACTCAAGCCGCGACACAAAGAAATGCAGGTCGAGGTTCGGATGAGCATCCTCGATCTGGTCCCTACAGTTCAGGAACCCTTTCACAAAGGCAAAGGCGCCCTCTCTCAACAGCTCAGACACCAGGGCCCGCAAAGACGACAACTCAGAATCCTTGGTCTTTAGGTCTGCATCCTTGGCTTTGATTTCATCATCCAGCTCATCGTTGATCCTCTTCAATTCTGTAACCTCAGAAACCAGAACCTGTAGCTTCCCCTCGGTAGCGTCCTTGCTGACCGTCATGACATCGAGAGCATCCTTGGCCTTTTGGGGATCCCGCTCATGATGGATATCCAACATCTTCACGCAGGCGAGCGACTACGAAGGAAAAAGGAGATCGGTCAACGCGGGAAATAGGAAAAGAATTCAAGAATGACTAAGTGAATAAACAGAACAAGAAGGAACCTCGGCCAGGCCTTAGATGGTATGCTGGATCTTCTTTTTAAAGGGAACCTCCATCGCTGACTGAGGATCTAACGTGAGGATTAGCTCTGATAGAGCAACCACTATGGCCTTGAAATCGCGAAGAAAGCCGGCCCCATGCACCTTAGACTTAGAAGGGGCGAACTTCCCTTTTTCACCCTTCGGAGAAACCTTCTCAGGTGAGGCAGAATGGGGGGTTGAAAAGTCGAGTTTGTCAGCTGAAGACCCCTCTAAGCAGGTGTTGCCCTTGGAAAGTGCAGAAGAAGGCAGGGGCACAATAGCATCCTCTCGAGGAGGAAAGACTTCACTTTTTTGTTCCAAGGAAGTGGGTATGGGGCCAGTGGCCGACGCCTCATTGGGTGGCAGTTGGCCTCCCTTCACCAATTTCCTCATCTTTCTCGATTACTCGGTATCCGAGAACACCGCAATGATCAGATCTTGGTCCAAGTTACCCGACTGGGAGGCAGAAGGTGGTGCAACATCTAAAGCTCGGATAATGGGCGGTCCTAGTCCGTGTTTAGCAAGGTTTTCGTCGATCACTAAGTCAAAGAAATCCCTCAACCCAAAGCCTTCAATTATAGCAATTTGGGCTGCCTCCTCCGTGCTGAGTACCGGGCAGAATTCTACAAACCAGATCAAAAGTTAGAAACAAAAAAAAATGAAGATAACAAAGGGGAACATAGCCGGTAGATTAGCCTTATAAGTGTTCCTTGGAACCCCCCAAGATCTTGGAACACGAGGAACATCTCCGGGCTCCCCTGACAACTCCCAGGAATTGCCCCTAGCAAAAAAAAACCTCGGTTTCCATCCTTTATTGGAAGACGGAAGCCTGGAGATCAGAGTCTTTGCCTTTAGCCATTTAGAAAAATACAAGAAACTGGAGAAGGGAGAAGACTTCAACTGAAAAAGGAAAGCAAATTCTCGTATAGAGGGGAGGAGAAGGTTCTCACTCTCAAACCAATGGACAAAGAAACCAACTGCGAGGCCCCAACCGTTGGGAGACAACTGGGCTGGACAGACGTTATAGAATCCGAGAATATTTTGGATAAAAGAATGGATAGGAAATAGAAGACCAGCCCAGAATGCAGACTCAAAGAAGTAAGTGAATCCAGGGAGAATAGAATTACACCTTTCATGTTTCCCGGGGGAATACAATTCCACGAAATCAGGAAAGTGATACTCACGCCTCAATTCCTCCAAATCCTCATCACCAAGACAACTAGAGGTCCCCTCTGCACAACAGGTCAAGTCAGATGGCTCACAACAAATTCACTTCTTAGAAACGGGGGGCAGAGTCGACTCGAATTTCCTCTTCTTCGGTTGAGCCGGAGAATCAGGAGGCAGGGCAGAAAGAGGCACAGCTTCAACTGGAGGCACCGAGGATGAAACTCTGGGAGTGGACTCAGGAGCTCCACCGCCAGTGGAAAGATAACGCCCACTAGAGGAAACCGTAGTGGTCTTCTCGGCCTCCCCACTAACATATTCCGATTCGGAAGAAGAAACGACAAATTTTCCCATCAAAAGGTCGGATCTCACACCAGAGTAAAGGGAAGGAAAATGCAAGGCACAATCCACCAAAAATAAAGGTTTCAAATACCAGGCCCTAAGTAAGGATACCCTCGCCACTAAAGAATGGCCTACGAATCGCGAAAGGAAAGAAAGGTCATCGGAGTGTTCTCTAAAATAACTAAACCTCCAGATCAGGAAGTGGAACTCAAAACCCCACCAGGGAGGGTTAAATGGATCCAAGTCAAAATAGCAAGAAGAAAGGAAAAAGGACGTATCTAGTGAAATGCTAGAGGAAGAGGAGAACCAGAGACGAGGATGTCGTAAGTCACCCAAGAGTCTAGATTAAAACACTTCGAAAGCACAGAAAGGGAAAGGAACACGAAGGAAAGTGGAACTCGGAATCACAGAACAAAAAGCCAAGAGACCTTCCCCCTTGAGGGACGTATATGTATGTGTGAAGCATTAAATTCATGACAGACAAGTGACAGGACACGCCACAAAAGTCGTACCCACGAGCTCATCCGAAGGTGACACGTGTGCATTACCATCCCATCATCGTCGGCAAATAGAGGCATGGCCCAATCCTGATTAGAACCAATAGCCGGACATAGTCATCACTTCAAAAGCCCATAATGAGCCCAAAAAAATCATTTTTAACCCCGGGCCAGAAATGATAACATCTTCATGACCTGGGCCTAGGGGGCAACTGATATGGTCGAAACTCAAGGCCAAGGCTTTGATGGCCTAGAAGCTTGACCAGCCCAAGAGGCCCAGAGTAGAGAAGGAGAACTTAGCATCGACGAAAGGCCTATAACCCAACAATCCAAGCCCAATCCAAACCATAAAGCAATTTGGAGATTGAAAGCCCGGCCCAAGCTATTTCTGGATCGCCAGAGGGGACTGCGCATCCTAAGGATCCAGGAGACCACTCCTAACACCTACGACAATCTCAGAGAAGGTGGAGCACCAGGCCATCAGAGATCGTAGCAACGGCAGCGCTGGATGAACAGTGATCATGGTGGCAGAAGAAGCAGGAAGGGGACAGAGGAAAGGACAGCTGAAGGCTCTAGGAGGGACTAATATAAATAGATAACGATAACCCAGGCAAGAATAGGACTCTATCTCCCCCAAAAAGATCGGAGAACATTCAAGAGCGTAGAAAGCTGAGAAAGAATACCTAGATACTCATCTTTTGTAAGTGGACTCTAAGTCCCGAGTTACAGGAGGCACTTCTCCGACCGATGAATATACAAATCCAACAAACAAGAGACTTCGTTGATAGTGGATGTAGCCTTTCCTTCGGCTAAGGTGAACCACTTATATTTTCAGTCTAACTGATCATATTCACCATCCCATCATAGTTGGGCTTGGGCCATAAATTCAGAGAAGTATCACATACAATAACAAGTTTAGGAGGGCCATAAGAAAGAGTTTTGTTCCTCTTCGTATCCACTTGGATACTAGTTAAATCAATCATTGTAGGTCATGCTCCATGCTAATTTTCTTAAAGATTGTGTTTGACCCACATTGCTTGCACTACAAGCAACCATGCATCCGAAGCAGGACAGTAGTACAATCAATTTATACTATGAGCAGAGAATAAAACATTCAACGAGAAGCCGGAGATAAGCTTCAATAGAGGAAGGAATAGAGCACCAAGGGAGACATAGAATAGATGAATTCGTGCATTTTATAGGGGTCGATCCCATTTTCTCCCATTTAAGAGCATTAAGTGTGACCAATTAAGTTAGACCTTGTTAGTTTTTGATTGTGTTTTGTGTCATGTAAATATGTATTTTGTTTTATCTTTGTTAAATTGCATTAGTGTCCAAGGATGGATTGAGCATTTAGAATTCAATGTCCAGCTCCAACATCGATCCAAAGCTGTTGACTAATTATTCGACTAATTATTGAACAGCATTTTAGATGGATTATCAACCGTTAATTTGAAATTTCCCAGAAATAATTGTCAAACTGTCCAAATTTTGTGAATAAATTCAAGTGTAATATGACAGGCATTTGCTCAATCTAGCATTTGATTGTGTTTCTTAATTGTTTTTTTCATCAATATTAGCACAGATGATCATGGTAAGACTCACTGGCCTTTCATATTATATATGCAATAAGGGATCAAATAAACACTAAAACTTGGGGAGAGTGAAATTTGGTCTTCCAAGTACTCAATTGTTCTTGGAAAAGTACCTCTTCCTTATTCAAACAAACTTGTTTTGTTTTTGGTTTTGGACAAATGGGAACCGTTGCAACCACACATCTAATGGACTCGTGGCTTCGACATAAACTTTAGATGGGTTCGATCACAAATAATCAGAGTGGCCATTATGAGTTAGGCAAACTTGTTTTTCATGGAATGAAAGTGAACATCGTATAGCAATTGATAATAAATAGGAACCACTACTAGACAAGAAATCAAATTCATACAGAACAACAAATAATATACACCGCAAACAATAAAGTCGACATACAATAACCACGTATCCATCAAAATGAAACACAAACTTCCTAGGCAATAAAAACATGAAATCACTCGCTCTAAACAGCCTTATTACAAAGCAAACTCAAGCAAATAGTCTGAGAGTTGGAAAACATGGAAGTAATGGTAGCATCTTAGGGGCTGGTGGTAGACGGGGGTGGTGAGAGGAAAGGAATCTTTGGCATTGTGATTGGAATGGTTGGGAGTGATGGAATTATCGCCTGGATGGAGGGAATAGAAATTGATGACAGAGGAGGTAGTGGGAGATTTGGAATGACAAGCACTAAAGGTAGTGTTGGGATAGGCAAAGATGGTGTTTGAGTGCCTGGCATTGGCGGCAGATTGGGCTTTGGCAGAGTAGGGGCTGTCGGCGTTGTAGGTAATGGGGTGGTTGGCAGTGTTGGCACAGTGGGCATCGGTGGCAATGTGGCTTTAGGCTGAGGTGTTAGTGTAGGCAGAGGTGGTGCTGCCGGTAGAGGTGTTTGAAGTAGGTAGCGAGCAGCCAAGCTCATATGGATGCTCGAAAATGATAATGCAATGATCAAAGATAGGAGAAAGCAATTCTTGTAAGCAGCCATTGATGGTTTGAGGCGGTAGATGTCCTCAAATTTGATTGAAATTTTGCTTGAAATGTTCTTCTGTTGATGAAGTAACAGCATTGGTTGATGAGTATTTGTAGATCAATGCTAACAAGTTGTGCTCGTTTGGAAAGACTAAGGCGAGTTTGATGAAATGTTGTTGGGAGTGGTGTTGAGAAACACTGGTTTGTTAACCTCCCAAATTGACTAATTGCCGAAATAGATGAAGAGTGTTCCAAAGAAATGGCTCAACTCACGCAATCCACTAGACATATGGCCTGTTAAGGATTGAACCAACTTTGGACCAAGAGTCAATTATGGACCCCACATGAATTCCCTTGCAAAGGGCATTTTTGGACTCCAAATTACCTACACACAACCAAGATACATCGACATTATTATTTCAATAAATACATATGCTATACTTTATTTTATCAGTTTTAAGTTTTTAGTATAGATAATATCTTTGTATTATATCAGATTCTAGAGGTTTTGATTTCAAATCACATCATCGCCTCTTTCCCTCCTATACATTAAAAACATGCGGAGGAAGGACCACCCAAAGAAGATGAGGGAACCTGCACAAAATGTCAGCAGAGAGAACACCCAAAAAGAAACATGGGAGAACATCTTGTTTTGGACCAGGCTTGACCCGGTAAGCTCTTAATTGATGGTGTCACATGTGACCATTGGACTAAAACTAGAAGTGATTCTAAGTGTAGTTTGAAGGATTCACATTTACACAGTTTTAGATTTAAATACTTCATATTCAGAAGTTTGTCACTGGGCATAAACATAAGAACTTAATGTAACTAATGAATTCTCATGCTACAACATTTTTTGGAAGTTAAAACCAATACCTCAATCCAATCCAGGCTGCAACCCCGGCCAAACGAGCTAAGAATTTCATACTAAACATGTCAATTATCCTGTCCAATCCATGATTTTATGCTGGGATTTTGTTGGGGAGCAGTGGAGTTCACCCATATAGGTCTGACATACTTACTAAGCCTTATGGAAAGTAAACTCATGCAACAGAGTTTCTTATAGCATAATTAGATTTTACATCTAAAGCACATGCTACACCTGATTAAGAATATAGTCACTACATTCAATTGTATAAATCAAAAATGTATCTTTGCTGGAAGAAAATTGGGACAGACGCGTAAAAAAGGAGCAAAAGGAATATATTTTGTATGTGCATTAAGTTGTATATACAGCAACTGACATCAGAACAACAGTCGCCTTTCCAGCAAATTCGAGTTTTTTGCAACCCAAGATGTCCAGTTGTGTCAGCGAAAAAAAGCCACAAAAAAACTGAATCTTCCATCTGGCATTGAATGCTGTATAAACTGTCTGCATTGACTTCATGCTGGCAACAGACTCTAGCTATTCGTCCCACAATTGTCACCTCTATGCCAGCCTCAAATGTAATAAGGATCTTGGCAACTGATGGCTGCTTAAATCTATATCAGTGCTTATAGAACACAATATCTCGGCTACAATTGACTTTAACTGCTTCCTCCAAACTCTCTACTTTGTCAAAATCCACCTTGAAAGTGACCATGGAGGTACCATCTTTACCAGTGTCATAATCCTGCTTGATGTCCTCAACTTGAAAAGATTGTAGCTGCAAAACACCAAAGCACATTGGGGGGGGGGNTAGAAGTGATTCTAAGTGTAGTTTGAAGGATTCACATTTACACAGTTTTAGATTTAAATACTTCATATTCAGAAGTTTGTCACTGGGCATAAACATAAGAACTTAATGTAACTAATGAATTCTCATGCTACAACATTTTTTGGAAGTTAAAACCAATACCTCAATCCAATCCAGGCTGCAACCCCGGCCAAACGAGCTAAGAATTTCATACTAAACATGTCAATTATCCTGTCCAATCCATGATTTTATGCTGGGATTTTGTTGGGGAGCAGTGGAGTTCACCCATATAGGTCTGACATACTTACTAAGCCTTATGGAAAGTAAACTCATGCAACAGAGTTTCTTATAGCATAATTAGATTTTACATCTAAAGCACATGCTACACCTGATTAAGAATATAGTCACTACATTCAATTGTATAAATCAAAAATGTATCTTTGCTGGAAGAAAATTGGGACAGACGCGTAAAAAAGGAGCAAAAGGAATATATTTTGTATGTGCATTAAGTTGTATATACAGCAACTGACATCAGAACAACAGTCGCCTTTCCAGCAAATTCGAGTTTTTTGCAACCCAAGATGTCCAGTTGTGTCAGCGAAAAAAAGCCACAAAAAAACTGAATCTTCCATCTGGCATTGAATGCTGTATAAACTGTCTGCATTGACTTCATGCTGGCAACAGACTCTAGCTATTCGTCCCACAATTGTCACCTCTATGCCAGCCTCAAATGTAATAAGGATCTTGGCAACTGATGGCTGCTTAAATCTATATCAGTGCTTATAGAACACAATATCTCGGCTACAATTGACTTTAACTGCTTCCTCCAAACTCTCTACTTTGTCAAAATCCACCTTGAAAGTGACCATGGAGGTACCATCTTTACCAGTGTCATAATCCTGCTTGATGTCCTCAACTTGAAAAGATTGTAGCTGCAAAACACCAAAGCACATTGGGGGGGGGGGAAGGAAGTAAGCTGTAAAACAACGGTTCCCAGGAGCAGTTCAAATGTGCTCAAAAGTCTAATCACATTATTAATCATTATTGATGGTTTTAGAATAGGGACACAATGGTTGTTACAAATTACATAGACTTTATTCCATCAGCATATTTTCTCACAATGTTTGAAGGGTCTATGAATAATAACTTGGCCCGGAGCCCAGGATCATTTTATATCGCACAGAGTATAAGTGCGATCAAAGTGATAAACCACTTTTAATTCCTATCACACTTTGGATCAGTGTTACCTGATGGTAAAGAACCCCCAAAAGATCAAACGGGACCTCCAGACCCATAGGAACCTGCAAACAGAGAGTCCCACCACAAATATAAGTTGCATAAAGTAAACTCAAGTCAACAGAAAAGTATATAACAACAAAATAGTGTGTTCTCCTGTGAGGTGCAAAATAGCTTCATCAAATTTTTTAGAACAACCGCTCCTCCTTGGTGTGGTGGTTTGGATTGTGAGTTCAAATCCCAACGTCAAGGGGTTCAAGGCTTGGTACCAGGGACCAGGAGGCACAAAAAAAAAACCTCATACAATCTGTGCAAATTGGGGAAAAAAAAACTCAATAGAAAAATGGAAAATTACTTTAGATTTCACAAGACAAGTTGGGGCATTTCTCAAGCATTCTGCTGCTACTCCTCCATAAGCCCTAACTAGTCCTCCAGTACCCAGTTTGATACCTCCAAAATACCTGAAATTGAGAGAAAAATTTAGAAAGCAACAGAACATGAAATTTTACATAGCTTTAGTTGAAGCATATGAATTTAAGGAAAATGAAACATTGCATAACAAACCCAAAATTGCCTTATGACATGTAAGTGCAGTTCCAAGTTTTCTTTTATAAGTTACATAGAAAAAGCAGTATTGAACATTAACTTGTGATAACCTATACCTGATCACAACCACCATCATTCTATCTAATCCTGAAGAAACAACTGCAGAATATATTGGTTTGCCAGCAGTACCCGAAGGTTCACCATCATCATTACTCCGGTATTGATCACCAATCTAAAATCAAGAAATAATTGCAGTCATTCCAAACTATGACAACAACCAACCCAATGGAGGATCCGAACACATTAGGTAAGATGCAAGGGAGAGAGGTGCTCCCAAACCTGATAGTGGATAAGCAAAGATCATTTACAATGAGTGCAAGAACATTTATCGATAAGGCCACAAATGGTACTTGTAGCTCTAGTGCTCTACGCAGTTATAGAGGCAGCATCATCATGTCACCCCTTGACTAATAGGTTCATAAATTTAGGCTGATATAACGCAAAAGAGACTATCAATTCTTTTAGAGGGAGTCATATTCCTAGTAAATACATGTAAGACCTTACCTATACACACATCCTTCATCATAAGAACATGTCTTCTTTCCTCTATCATCATATAGGACTCTATCTCTCACCCACACAAAGAATGTGTGTCCCTTGATTAGCAATTTTCAAGTAAATGCTACTCTTACATGCACACCATGAGCTTTCCATTTAGTTCATGCATCACCACTAAATGCACAAGTTCACAAAAAGGATAGCGCATAGGCCGACATGACAAAAATTTTCAGAATTCAAACCCAAATTCCTTTAAGAGCAGTTTGTCATAGCCAGTTCAATCATATGGGAAGCCAAAATTTGGGTTTTAAGACAAGGCCTCCAACGAATTTTTTAAGCACTAAATACCATGACTTCACAAATTAAAGGACCAACACAGGATGAGCATTCCACAATAACTTCTTTGATAACCTCCGGCTCCTATCTTATACTAACGGAAAAAACTAAAGAAGCCCTTAAAATTTAGTCATCAGTGTCGCAACAAGTAAACATAATCGTGTAATACGTTATAGAAACATACCTTATATGCCCAACAATTATGAGTTGCACGAGGATCTCGAACCTGTTAATCGCAATACAATGAAAAATTAACCACTTTTCAACAGCTAAAAAGTTCAAAAATCAAAATATACCAGCAAGAGAAAGTTTGATAATCTCAATATCACATAACATAGTAACAACAAACAGAAACCCAAGAAATTAATAGAAATTGATATGCGAGGAATATAATATAATCACTAAACAGATAAATATGATGAGAAAGGTACGTCATTGAGGAAGGATTGGGCGGAGCGTTCGTCGGAGATAGGACCAGCAATGGCGATGAATTTGCTTTTTTTGATCTGTCGTTCAAATGTCACTCTCTCGCGAAGCGTCGTAAACGAACCAGGGTTGTTACTGCTAGTGGTGGCGATGGTGACCATGAGTCTCTTAGCTCCGGCGATTACAGACAGCGATGAGGCGAGAGCGTTATGGTGATAGTGGCGGTTCAGCTTCTGGCACGGTGTCGAGAGGAAAATCGCCACCTGCATTTGGATTTGGGGCTCTGCTCTCGCCGCGGACCCCTTGTTTGCTTCAGTTGCGGACTGTTCTAGACGGTGTCGTTTTGATAATACGGTGTCGTTTTGATAAGACGACGTCGTTGCAAGCAGACCACTTCCCATTGCTGACGGAAATAATAGATTTACCAAAATCTAATTTATATAATAAATTATAATATAATTCAAACGTCAAAAAATAAAAAAAATGATTTTTATTTTTCACGAGATTAATTTAAATTTTATTTTAGAGTTAATTTGATCACTAATATTAACACTCCTAATTTAATAGAGAAAATATGCCTCTTTTTTAGGTAATCTATATCTATATTTATATTTATCTATATCTATATCTATATATACACTACTATAAAATGTCAATAAAAGTAAAAAAAATTTATTTGATCATAATACCCTGGGCTAACAATTCTAGACACGACTTGTAAAATCGACACGGATTTAGCGGGTTTAGGTGTAGTCTTAATGAATTCGGGTGGTTAACGGGTTAAATCGACAAACCCGTGAAATAAATAAACCGGTTTTGTGTTTAACTCATAAACTCGTTTCAACTCATTTAACTTGTTAAGAGTGGTACAATAAATTTTTAAAAAACAAGTTAAGTCTCTCAGCCTTTGTCTCATCTTACACCTCTCATCTCTCAGAATTATTCAAATTTAGTAGTCATTTAATGTTTATTTTTTGTCTTTATTTTTTTTTGTTCAATCATGATTTATTGTTATAGTAAATAGGTCAAACATGTGTAATGTGTGGCGAGTTAATAATTTTTCATGTAGATTTGAATTTATCTAACTTATTCTCTTATTTAACGGGTGACGCACGGGTAATATCGGATAACCCGTCTAATAAACGATTTATGTATGAGTGTGATAGTTAGACTCATTTATATAAACGAATAGAGTATGGATGAAGGATTTTTTGACACAAATCCGTTCTACCCAACATGAAACCGTTTCACTCGACACGATTGCGAGGCTTATAATACCTCCTATAAAAATGATTAAAGACAACTATATCATTATGTATTTAATTACTCAATACCAATTAAATATCCAAATAACTCTTTATATACTTTCTCTTCCACACAAATAATCTATATGAATATCTATATTTATATCTACATATCTTTCTATACTTAAAAAAATAAATATTCGGTATACATCTAATTTATAATATAGATAATACTAATATCTATCTATCTATATATATATCTATATCTGTATTTATATTATATTATATTATATTATATTATACTACTTCAAAAAGTACTCTACAAGAAAAACTTTTATTTTCTCCTTCAATCCTTAAAAATTTATGTAAAGACAAATATATCCTATTTTTTAATTTAACTCTTAGACCATTCATATTCTAGATATAAATATTCAATTACAAGTGGAATGATTAAATCTATATCTATATTTATTCTATACTAATTTGAAATGTTAATTATTCTTCAAAATTTTTAAATTTCTATTTTAACCTTGACAAAAATACTAAATTTAGAGAATATCTCTTATGACTTTTGCTCTTCCTCCCCCAAAGAATAACCTGTATGATTTTTGCTTTTCCGCTAGATGTACTATTTTTAGTATTCATTTCATCTTCTTTCTACGGTCACCAACCACCATATATGTCCCACCATAATCTCTTTTTTATACCAAGCATGCATTACATCCAAAAAAAACTTCAGTTTCTGAAAACTGAAAGTCATTCATGTGACACCATCATGATTTTGGTTCTCCGTCTCCTTTGATCAAACACCGAAATCAATATAGGTTGTTATGGGTTCTACTTTGAGAAAAAATATTGTGCATGCATTTGTCTTTATTTATATGACAAATGTATACATGTATATGCACATTGTGTTGGTGCTTTTGGACTTACTTTTCAACTGTAATTTTTTATCGTGTCTTATTTGTTGGCTCTAAATATTTTTTGGTTCAGACATTCATCTTATGTATTTAATTTTTTTAATAATTTTCGGATTTGAAAATTTTCACAATCATTTTTCTATAGGGTTGCATTTCTTTTATTCAACGACTTATTTGTAGTTATTATTTTTTAAAGATTTTATTGATCAATGTAAGACTTAAATATGGTCCACATGATTTTTTGGCACATGTGATATTTATTGATGACTAATTAATTGGTGATTTAGTTGGGTCAAGATAATGAAAAGGTTGTCGATCACATATTAACCAAATAACTGATGTTTTCTAATTAGTCAATGAGAAGTAGTAGTTTTCTGGTATCCTACTTTGATAGAAAGTGGAGTTCATGTTAATCTAGGAAACCGGTCCTCTCTACCGATAAATGCGCACATGCCCCATTGATTTGTGTATCTCACGTTAAAGGTTATGAGAGAGAAACTGTATTTTCAAGCTACACCAAAATACTGTTCTTCTTGTTCAAGAAACTAAAAAGTTTACATCAATGGCTTCAGGCATGTAAATTATGATGTTTTAATTCCGTAATATGAGTATTTGAAAAATTATGATTGTTCTAGATCTTGAAATTAGAGTTTGGTTGATTCCTTTGATCAAATAGAATTAACATGTGGAATCAGAGTCTGAGTAAAGAACTCTCGTGATTTTTCGTTAATGTTTATGTTATACCGCCTACTGTGTCGAATTAATTGTGGGCTGAATTAACTGTTATTATATTGTCTCTGCCTTAAAAAAAAAAAAAAGGATGGTACATCATTAATTGGTTTGAAGTTCCTTTACTCCAATTGATCCCTGGCTAAAACAACTTTCTTGACTATTCCTATCAGTAGGAAGACGACTTTTTTGGGATTCATTATTTAATTGATATAGGTGATAGCACATTTAATGAAACTTGCAAGTTTTGCTTTTCTTTATATTTTTTCTAATATAAAATTATAACTTAGCATGTATTTGTTATATTTTCATGTACTGTCTGTCCATCAAAGGACACATTGTTGTTTTTACCCTTGAATAAGACAAATCAACTTTTCTGTTGGTTAAACTTAAGAAGCATGTCAACATTGTTTACTGTGTTTTATATTATGATCTCTACTTTAAAGTCATGTCTTTGAATAATATACATATGTGTGTGTGTGTATTATATGTAATGAAGACCTAATTTCATGTCATGAGTTGACTGTGGATTTGGGGCAGTATAATTATTGTTAAATTTGTGATGAATTTAGCATCTATAACATCACTTATTTAATTATTATTATTATTATTTTTATACCAATGTCTAATGAGTTGTGATATGCAAAATTGAGGTCCAGGATATTATGAGCTATTTATGATAACTCATGCTTAAATTTTATTATTATTATTTATATGTTAATCCTGGTCTCGTTAATGAACTTGTACATCATAAAGATTAATTATGTATTATTGTCAGTCTAATAACTTAAGCAAAGTCAATATCATGGTTTTGATATCTAAATTATGTTATAGTTTGGTAGTCACCAAAGTGACCCAATTAGAATGACTCATAGATATTAAAATAATTGTTTATGCAACTTCATTATTTTGATTTAATGCTTATATTATGATATAGTTGGGTAGCCGCTAAAGTGGCCTAACTAGAATGATTAATAAGTATTAAATCATATAATTGCTATTTAATATCCATTACCGAGGTATTAAAATAATGACTTTCAAATCGCAATTTTTTAACATTTGGATATTAGGAATCAACCCAAAGGTATCAAGTGATTAATTAACTGGAATAGGATAATTAGGCTATATTCATGATTGGTGGGTCTTGGATACCCAAAAGTAACAGACCTACCTAATTATGGACGTATCATTAATTAGTCCTATTAGGTGAAGGGAATCACCATGATGGTTAATGTATTAGTATATTGTAACTACTACCCAAAGGAGAATCACAATAGGACTATTTACTGATTACAAGAGTAAATATTTTATTCTTACTCATGTTTGAATTGTTAGATAACTCAAAGCACTAATTTAGTGAGCATTTAACTGATTGCAGTGTCTGTTGTTGTTTTGTTGCATGCGCATGCTTCTTCTGTTTCAATGCCTAATGTACTAAATTTCTCTGGCGTGAATAAGTCCAGTTTCACCTAGGTGTTTTGGATCTTGATTTAGCACTACAAATTGAGAAACCTGTTACTATTACTGAGACAAGCAGCTCTGATGAAAGTGCTTTCCATAAAGTATGGGAAAGATCGAACTGATTGAGCCTTATGTTTATGCGGATGACCATTGCAAGCAACATTAAGTCAACTCTTCCACAGAAAGACATAATTGCTAAAGAATTTTTTGATATTGTGGAAGATCGTTTCCAAACTGCCGACAAGTCTCTTGCTGGGACATTAATTGTTGAACTTACCACCATGAAATTTGATGGTACACGTACGATGCATGATCATGTCATCGAGATGACAAATGTAGCTGCTAATTTGAAGGCTCTAGGGATGGGTGTGGATGATTTATTTCTGACACAATTTATTCTAAACTTTTTGCCTCCTCAATATGGCCCTTTTCAGATTCACTATAACACTATTAAAGATAAGTGGAACGTGAATGAATTGACCAACATGTTTGTTCAAGAGGATTCAAGGCTTAATAAATTGGGAAATCATTCAGTTCATCTCGTAAGTCAAGGAGCAAAAATAAAATGGAAGAAGCCTAAAGGTATGAAGCATGGTCCACTCAAGACTAATGAGCCTAGTCAAGTAACTCAGGCTTATAAGAAGGAAAAGGGTGATAGGTGTCATTTTTGTAAGAAGTTGGGGCACTTTCAGAAAGATTGTCATAAACGAAGGGCATGGTTCGAAAAGAAAGGTAAACATTTAGCTTTTGTATGTTTCAATTCAAACCTTACTAAAGTTCCTTCAAATACTTGGTGGATTGATTCTGGTGCTACTATTCATGTTTCAAATACGATGAAGGAGTCCTTACAACCTAGACCATAAATCCAAATGAGAAATTCATATTCATGGATAACCAAGTCAAAAATCCAGTCGAAGCTATTGGGACTTTTTGTTTATTTCTAGATACTGGTTATCATTTGGATTTATTTCAGACACTTTATGTTCCTTCTATTTCTTGAAATTTAGTTTCTTTGTCTAGACTTGATGTTGATGGATATTCCTTTAA